AATGTCTGATTTGTAACTAACAACTTCTCGCCTGGACAAGTTTAAAGTATTTTAATGAGTTTCTTTAATTTCCTTTTCCCTTTTTCATGCTACGTGGGTTCTTACCTCCATTCAAGGTCACAGGTGTTAAAAATAGTTTTGAAAGAAATACAGAATTTAGCAATAAATTAATATTTTGTTTTAAGATTTTTTAATTATGATCTAAATTTACTTATCGATAATTACACACATTTGTTATTTTAACTTGACGAAACCATCGTTAGAACCCGCCTTTTCCTCCAATCACACGCTGCTAAATTTTCTATTAAGTTGATCACTTAATTGTTAACAATTTATGTCTATGCAGTAATTCCGCGGGCTTACTAAGTAGCCAATGAAAAAGTGCGATAGGTTCTACACGCATTCTCAATTTATAGTGCCAAATCGACTTTGGGTAAAGTAAAAAAAAACTTGTGAACTGAAACTAAAACTTTTATATGTCATTCGAAACATGAAGGTGTATAGTTATTAAAAATCACAATTAGATTTACATACTTCATTGTTGACCTCCTTCGAAATGAATGCGGTTGGAGGGCTAATTTTACACCAAGGTATTTACGTGATGTTGAAAAGCCATATGTTGAAACGAAAGATTTTTTTGAAAAATACAAAATTAAGATAATACACATCAATTTTTTTTTTTTAACTATAAACATGCATGAAACCGTTTAAGCACATTTGTAAAAGGTTGACACGTGAAATCTTTTATTCAGTTATAAATAAAAACAAAACAGGCATAATTTTCATTTAAATGAAATTATTTTCTTTTTATCTTAAAAAGTTTATATCAAATCTGACGATAAGCTTAATAATGACAAATAAACATTTCCTAAAATGTTTCTTTATGAATCTGTTCAGAGAAACGCACATTTTAAAAAAATATCAGAAGGTTAAATATTTCACCATTACCTGATTACGAAGTGTTTGTTAAATATCACGTAAATATCGCACGTATATATCATACAAAAATAAAAGTATATTCGGGGGAAAATGAATATATTATTTCAAATTATTGAATTTTATGAATTTTCTTATCTGTGTTCTTGACAATGGGATGCATTGAAAATTCAAGTTTTGACTTATTTATGGAGGAATAATGACACCCCCCCCCCTTTCCACCATTTATCTGTTGATTATTTCAAATGCTTAATTGCTTGTGAAAACTATATCGTCAAATCTCAAAAACAAAACAATGTTACCCCCACCACCCTTAAGAAGGGTTGTTAATAATTACAGTTGCATATTATATGTGCTCTATTGAGCAATATACGTACATTCTACATTGATATAACATAAATTGAATTTTCATTACCATTAAAGCATAGACGCATACGTTCTAAGTTCTATGTCTAAGCAACAATTTAAATGGGAAAAATTAGGTGCACAAATTAATACATGTATTTCTTGCAAAGCAACAAAAATGGAACTGGATTCAATTTCGACCAGTTTCTTGACACCCAACACCCACAGTCGTCTATTTTCTTTAACCCGATGTGGAAGACCCCCCCCCCCCCCCCTTACATGCAGCGCAGCCTCTATTTTCTGGAATTATATTTCCTACGAAAAATGATATTTTCTTCTTCAAAATTTTAAGTTTGGTATACAATTAAGGTGTATAAAACCATTATCTAAGTTGACGATACACTATCAGTTCAAACAAACAGCAAAATACAAATTTTAAGAAAGTTTTGTTTCAGATTTATGTTCCGAATGATAACGTGCATTACACTTAAAACTTTGCAATATTAACCAATTGCTCAAAATGAAAGCATTCGATCATTAAACCACAATTCTACTTGTGAAAAATATTTTGTCAATTCAATTTTCAAATCACTCGTATGCACAAGATATTGTGTAAAATATGTTCACCCTTGAATGTGCACTTTGACTCGTAAAACAAGAAGCCCACGGGCCTTATAGGTCACCTGAGTATCATGTAACAACTTTCATACAATTAAAATTGGTTCTTGTTTTACCCCATAGTCCATGAATTCACAATTCTGAAAGAGGCACCATTGCTTATCATAATTATAAACTTAGCATGCTTACTCTATTTACTTAATACCCAGAGGTAAATCAGAGTAACAAAGAGAAAATGCACTTCCACTTTATAACCAGTTGTGCACCTCACCCAGAAGGAACCACTGACCCTGGGGCCACAAAATTCAAAATTTTGCAATTTTTATCATAAAATGGTTAAATAATACTAAAGAGCGGATTTCAAAGGGCATAAAAAATAATAAATATAAAATATATATACTCAACAAAAAAAGAAACGCATATTGTTTTACTTGTAAAAGAAATTTTTAAATTATTAATGGAACAACTATCTTGTATATCATTGGATACCTGTGACCCATTTAAAGCACAACATGGGGTTTTAAAACCAAAGTGTTTAATTATCTCCCTTGATTAAACGTGTTTATATAAGTAGTGTTTTTCCTGATTTCTTCTAAATCGGATGTCTATTTTCGTTGATATTTTGGATTTAGAGAAACTATTAACACTCCTATTAAACCCATATTTAAGATTTGATTGAAGTGTCCATGCTGCAATGCCACGCCGAAACAAAGATGAACACAACCAGGCCAACGATGATACTAAATGGAGCTACGCAACAGAAAGTTACAACTGCATTTGGAATACATCAATTGGCTTTGCAACCGTTAAACTAATGTCGGAAGACCATGAATTGGTCTTCCGCAGGTAACGCCACCAAGGCAGGACCGTCAGACCCCCCCCCCCTTTCAGCACCTCATGCGATTCTAACTTGCTGTAAAAACTGCTGCTACAATCGCTGAATGAAAAAATCAGCGTAAATGTGCATAAATTCTTCCCAAGAGACTGAAAGGAGCTGGTAATCGTGCATGATATCCGTACATTGGAAATTCACCAGCGCTTAGATGTCGCAAAGATATATGGATTGGTTATTGGGTTATGCCCCTTGAATTTGGAGGCGTCGACAATGACAAAAATTTCACTTTTCTACTCACAACACAGAATATGTTTAATTTTTATTCAAACCCTCTAAAATCACTTTTAAAAAAATAAGGATTAAACTGAAAACATAAATTATCATGTTTAATCTGAATATGCGTTTCTTTTTTTGTTGAGTATATATATACTTGGACCATTGGCATAACACCCAGTAGCAAAGGAAGAGATTTTCAAAGAAGTAATGCATTTTCACTATATAATTAATACAGCCCCGCCCTAATACCAGAAACTCTGACCCTGGGACCATAAAATTCAAAATTTTGCAAGTTGCACTCTTGCTCATCATAACTATGCACTTAGTAAGTTTATTTAATACCACGAAGCAGAGAAGAAGATTTGCACAGAATAATGCATTTTAACTATATGATCAATAGAGCCACGCCCTAACACCAGAACCCCTGACCCTGGGGCCATAAAATTCATAATTTAGGAAGAGGCACTCTTGCTCATCATAACTATGTACTTAGTTAGTTTATTTAATACCTAGGAGCAGAGAAGAATACATGTACTTTCAAAGAATTAATATGCATTTTCACTATATGATTAATAGAACCCACCTTAAAACCAGAACCCATGACCCTGGGGCCATGAATTTCACAATTTTGGTAGAGGACTCAATGCTCATTACACTAATGCCAACAATTTGTCTGCTTGATGTCCAGGAGTAAAGGAGAAGATTTTTAAAGATTGCAATAATTTTGGTGGTTTTGGCCCCACCACTCAGGCCCCAGGGGGGCGGGGACCATTAAATTCATAATTTGTGTTTCCCTTCACTTATAGATGCTGAATACCGAATTTGGTTAAAATTGGTTCAGTGGTTTCAGAGAAGAAGCTTCGCTCCCTCCGCCCCTTCTTAACCACTAAAATTTTACTTAATATGATCTAACTATTACAAACGGCGAATTTTTCACAAGATACAGAATGTACATTTGCTAGAAATAGGAACACGTGTACACGCGACTTTTTATACAAACGGAAAGTAACTGTTTCTATTTGACCGTGATCGAAGCTCTAATTGCTTTTTACGATAATAATGAATAGTTTTTAAGATTTTGAAAGGGACAGGCAAGGATGAGTATTTTACTGTTGAATTAATACCTGTATTTCATTATTTTTTTAAAACAACCACTCAAGTTATTGCTGCTGTGATGAACAATGTAAGCTTATCATAGATTTTTTTTTCAACGAAAATCGACCGGTGAGATTTCTGCTTGTTTTGATATTATACATATCTGAAATTATTGAATTTTACAATGATCATTTATTATAATTACTAATGATAATTTTTATTCACAATGTCGAGATCTACTTATTTAATGACGAACGGTATGCCAGCAAGCTGTACAGGTAATACCCATGGATTTCCTGTGTACACTGTTTGTGAATAGGAATTAGCGCTTCTCACGGTCTGCAAGACCATCAATGCCTCGGGGAGCCATGAATGTAGAATACACGAGTTTCGAGATTTAACTCTCCTGCTAAAGAGGTGCAAAAGGTATCCATTTCAGCAAAGTTTACGCGACAACCAAACTCCCCTCCTCGACGCAAGAGCGCGCCAAGGGAAGTAATCTCGAAACTTGCGTATTAAGTCCCTCCCCTTACATTTGTACCTGAGAAAACCGTTCGGTTAAAAATCTCAGCCTTTAAAAATTTCTTTCTTCTGCAATAAGCATTAAGCTTAACATTTAAGAAGTTTACATCATCCGTGAAAAATAACTTAGAAATATTTATATCACTTTATTTGATGAATGACAGCACGACCATATTGTGCAACAACTGAACTACATGTAATTAATTAAGTTCAAATGTTATTTCAAATCATACAATATTCATTTTAACTTTTTTTATAACAGACGAGCCAGACCATTTATAAAGCTTCCGTAAAATGTCGATTGTGCTTTTGATTCAAATAGCACTATAAAGTAAGAAAATAATTATCCAGTAGCTGAAAACCTTTTTGGAAGAAATGTAAAAAAGAAATGCTTCATAATAAGATGAAAAGTAATGCTTCTAGATTTATTTGCTTACTTGTTCTTACAACAGGTTGAACTTGAACACTTTTCTGCTGATTTGTTTCTTTCTTTTCTTCTTTCTGAGACATTGCCTGAAACAATATACGAGAGGACATCACTTCACTCAGCATACAATATACCAAATGTACTATTTTGCAAGAAATAAGGAGTAAGAATAAACAAAATTGCAAATGTGCAAAGAAAAATACAGAATCATAACATGTATTTTTATAACTACTTTTCTTTTATTCATAAGTATAAAAAATATATCAACAGTTTCAAAAACCAGACGGTAATTCCTTTATACTTAGATTAGCTTTTTCACTTGATCATTAATTTGATAAAAGCTACGGACAAAGCAACACTCAGGCAGGCCGGGAGAATGCAATAAATCACACGCCGAGCAAATTGCTTAATAAAGTTTATAAAGCCATTTTCTTATTTTAGTTTTATGTAAAACAAAGACATATAAAATCTAACCATTTTTGGATAAATCAGCTGTACAGTGTACGTTACAATTTAAGAAATTCTTACCAATTTATATTTTTCATTGACATGTTCTCGAAACATTCCAGCAAGAACATTCATTGCACCCACTACATTTTGTTCTTCGCCATACACAGAAAATCTGTAAAGCACTGGAATTTCAGGCGTTTCTCTGGTTTTCCATGCAGCTGCAAGAAGTACATTTAAATCGAAAATTGATACTACAGAGGGACAGTTTTCCTTCACTGACTTAATTTATACATTTATACAATATAATTACGTTTTTTAAAGTAAATAATGACTTTGCATTTATGACCTCAAATATATATGGATATTCTCCAAAACAGGAAGATGAAATAAACAAGTGGCCCATGGGCCACATCACTCACCCGAGTAACTTTGTTGATGCAGTTCTTTACAAGATTTCCCCTCTTCTTACAACTATTGTGGCCCCCTACCCCCTCCCAACCCATATCTTTATTTTAACAATTTAGAATCTGCACTACCCTAGGATGCTTCCACCTAAATTTCAGCTTTCCTGGCCAACTGGCGCAAAGAGGAAGAATTTTTCAATACATTTCTATATAAAACTACGACTCCCTATTGTGGCCCCTCCCTACCCCCGGGGTACATGATTTTTACAATTTAGAATCTACACTACCCCAGGATGCCTCCACATAAGTTTCAGTTTTCCTGGCCCACTGGTTCTTGCGAAGAAGATTTTTAAAGATCGTTCCTATATATTTCTATGTAAAACTTGGATTCCCTATTGTAGCCCCGCCCTACCCCCCAGGGGTCATGATTTTTACAATTTAGAATCTTCACTAACTCAGGATGCTTCAATTTTCTGGCCTAGTGGTTCTTAAGAAGAAGATTTTTTTAATAACCTCACCCTATTTTTGTATTTTTTGATTTTCTCCGCTTGGAAGGGTAACTGGCCCTTTATTTGAACAATTTAAATTTCCCTTCACCCTAGGATGCTCTGTACAAAGTTTAGTTAAAATTGGCCCAGTGGTTTTTGAGAAAACGTTGAAAATGTGAAAACTTTACGGACGGGCAGACAGGCAGACAAACGACGGATAATGGGTGATCAGAAAAGTTCAATTGAGCTTTCAGCTCAACTGATCTAAAAATGTTGCAAACGCTAAAAGATTTCAAAATGCTAGAAGTCGTAATTGTAATTTTTAAATACGAGGGTTGATCGAAAGGTAATGTCACAACTTTGATAAAATTGCTACAAATCAACGCACAGCAACAAAATTATACAAGATGGACGCTTTATATATTTTAAATCAGACCTGAAAAATTCAAAGGAATATGATATATACATGTACTTTCCAAAATGATTCTAAACATTTGCGTTTATGGTAGTCGCCGCACCTAAATAAACCGTCATATGACGGATACGCACCTCATACTTTTAGGCGTTTCCCCTTCGTTTCATTCAAAAAATATTTGTGATTTGCAAACACTTTCACCAGTTCCACTTTTTTAAAGGGTTCTTGGTACCATTATACACTCACTCGTTTCATAATTAAGCCCTCTGTCAAAATTTTTTGAACAGTAGCAAAGACAAACTTAGAAATTCACATATGCATTTCACTCTATACGTCTGTCCTTTTTTTTACGCCAGATCCATTGAACGTTTCCGTCCAATCTCCTATCTTTCAGTCTTTTTGTCCTCTGCTGATCATTCAGTGACCAATTACCCGTCCAAATTTGCTGAAACCATCTATCAAGATATCTCTTATTTAGTTTCTTTATTCTGTAAGTCTGATTAATTAACGTTACTGTTGCTTGTGATGATTCCCATATTTTGAAGCAACAAATGCATTACAACTCGTCAATCCATTTTTTCCCCATTTCGACAATCCCTTTGTTCAATTCAACAAAGTAAAATATAACATTTTTGAATAAGTTTTCTTATTATATCACAAATGTAATAGGTTTCGCTATAAACCCTGAAAAATGCAGAGTCACACCGGAAACAGTTATGTCATGCCGGAAACAATTATGTCACCCCCGACGGAAACAGTTATGTCATCCTTTCGATCACGTTCACGTGTTGTTACGTTTCGCATTTTAGATCGGGTTCGAGATGTTATGACGTCGGTTGCTAAGCAAATGTAAACAACGGAGCGTGATTCTTAACGTCAAGAAGGCATTTTTGGATTATTTGTTTATATTTTAACAATTTTGAATGATTTTAAATTTTCCTTTAATTTTAAAAATGTCATATAACATATACCACATGGCTTCTCGGGCGACTATACCAGACCATTTGCCCCTCGGTGACAGGAAAGCCCTGGAGTGTTATGTCACCCCCTGCCTTCGGCATCGGGTGACATAACACTCCAGGGCTTTCCTGTCACCGAGGGGCAAATATTATACATATATCACATGGGTTCGAGGGTGACATACCAAAATTTTTGCCCCGAGGTGACAGGAAAGCCCTGGAGTGTTATGTCACCCGATGCCGAAGGTAGAGAGTGACATAACACTCCAGGGCTTTCCTGTCACCGAGGGGCAAATATTCTGGTATAGTCGCCCGAGAAGCCATGCGGTATATGTTATATGACATTTTTAAAATTAAAAGAAAATTTAAAATCATTCAAAATCGTTAAAATGTTCACAAATAATCCAAAAATGCATTCCTGACGTTGAGAAATACGCTGTTTACTTTTGCTTAGCAACCGACGTCATAAAATCTCGAACCCGAACTAAAATGCGTAACCTAAATACACGTGAACGTGATCGAAATAGTGACATAACTGTTTCTGGCGAGGGTTGACATAACTGTTTCCGGCCGGACAGAACTGTTTCCGGTGTGACTCGGAATTTTTTCAGGGTTTATAGCGAAACTTATTACATTTGTGATATAATAGGAAAAGTTATTCAAAAATGTTATATTATATATATATAATTATATTACATGGCTTCGAGGGCAGCATACCAGAATATTTGCCCCAAGGTGACAGGAAAGCCCTGGAGTGTTATGTCGCCCGATGCCGCAGGCAGAGGGCGACATAACACTCCAGGGCTTTCCTGTCACCGAGGGGCAAATTTTCTGGTATTGTTGCCCGAGAATTAAGTCATGTAATATATGTTATATAACATTTTTTAAGCATTGAACCCAAATTGATCATATTACATATTTATTGAACGCTATGTACATACATATATATGTACGTTGAGTATAATTCCGAAATATCTCATCCGGTTTCATGGCCGAATTTTTTCAGTATGCTGGTGACACTTGCGTTGATAACCTTTGTTGTATTTTAAGAATTTTTCTCATCGATTTAATGTTATCTAATTAATATTCCTCTGAATTCAAATAAACAAATCGCAGACGTTGTCTCGACTTTTTAACTTTCGCGGAACTGTTTACGTTTGCTTAGCAACTGCCTCTGTGAATTTCGAACCTGACGTAATTAATATGCAGAATGATTGTTCTCGAGGGAACATAACTGTGTTCGGGAGGGCAACATAACTGTTTCCGGTGGAACATAACTGTATCCGGTGTGATTAGGCAGTTTTTCAGGACATATGGATAAAAATATTATATTCGTGATATAATGGGGAAACTTCTTCAAAAATGTTATATTCTGGTATGTCACCCTCGAATCATGTGATATATGTATAACAACAATGTTTATGATCACAAATACCGATGCCGTCAATTAATTTTCAATTAAAGACTAGAAAATTACGAGAATTGTGTCTTTTAAAAAAAATGAGAGATTAAGTGCTCTTTTAGAATCTTTTGAATGTGTTTGTTTTTTTTCATTCTAAAAAATACACTTTAAAACGTGACGTTCCGTTGTGACGCGGCGACACCCCCTATGCTCTATGTTTTAAACATTTATAAAATAAATTCAAATAAACGTCATCTAATTAAGATTTCAATGTTCATTAGAATTATATTTGTGCATCTTTTGGTATATTGATTTTGATAATATGACGCCAAATATCAAAGAAAAGGACACTGTGATATAACTTTTGGATCAACCATCGTCTATTTTGTGTTGTTTTGACAAGATTTTCTGTATAATATAATTAATTTTTCATTTCTATAAAATATAAATGTTTAATTGACAACTTTGAGGCTAAAAAATTGTTCGGAATTTTAAAAAAAATATATATTTATCTACAATTAAATCACATATTTTCAAGGGTTAAATTTTTCGCTTTTTTTGAAGAAAATATATTAGTTGGTGGGGATCTAATTTTATGGTTGATGAATAGTTCGGTAGCAATTAATGTAAATTCATTATTACCACGAAAATCAAAACCCACGAAAATTTGTGATTTTGCAGAATTTGATTGTTTGAGTGTGCAATGATATTTTATATTATCTTACTTTCTCTATGAGGAACAGTCATTTGCAAAGACTCTTAAAACATGTATTTATATATGCAAAACAATTACCATTTTCGTGCTCCAAAATAGTCCGAAAGACCTAAAAAGAAATCAAGCAATTAGAATTTCTCTTGTGTGACTCTAGCTTTGTGGATATTTTACAATTATACGAGACAAGAAAAATCAAGTAGATAGGGGTCGGTGATAAATGAAATTTGATAATCATTCTTGCTGAATTTGCTGAGCAAGATATTTTTGTATTTGACCAAAATTAGTGGTAGAAATTAAGAAAAGAAAAAAATTCTGATTTTTTTTACTAGAAAATTTAACTCACTTTGAAATTTTCTTCATCTTTTTCATGAATAACAAATAAGATTTTCTCTACATGCTTGTGATCGTTTGAAGCTGCATACTCTTCAACTATACTTTTCACACTAGTTGCTACCAGAACTGAAGGAATCTTTAACTGTCCGGTTCCAATGGCAGGGAATGCCAAAGTTTTAAATTTTCTCTCGTCTGCCAGAGATATGCAGTTCCTCACAAATTGTCGAAGAACCTAAAAGAATGTAAAACATATTTTCAGTTCATAACTTTACCACCCATACACCACCACCCCTCCAAAATAAACAAAGATTACAAAAATCGAAATTGTAAACTCTGATGAATAACATAAGAATTTGAGATTCCTGAAAGGTAATGTCTATCTGAGTTTCGACTGAGTGATTAATGAGAAAAATAATACTTTTAATTATATTGCGTTAAATATGAAATAATTTTCAAAGTGTAAATAAAAGCACGATTCATACTTACGTCCATTGCTTTTTCTTGATCATCCTTCCATTTATAAAGAGCCCCGTGAAAGATTCTCTCACAATTCAATCTGTATCCGAATGTCTCAGCAACATCCCCATAATTGACCCTAATTACTTGACCTGTTGTGAGGTCGGCTGGAATTTGGGCTATCTCTGTTTTCAGTCCATCACCTGCAGCTTCTAATATGGATGCAGAAACTGCTCCACTTGTCATATCTAAGCTCAATGACGTTGTGTTAACAATAACATCTACCTAAAAGTACCAATGTTTTTTTTTCCAGTATAAAATAAAATTGAAGTCTGCAGTGTTTTGATGGTAGTGGGATTTGGTGGCAATGCTGTACAATGCTTGTTATGATCAACTTAAAAACAGAAAAATGAAAATTGATGTCTTTCTTCATTACTAATTTTCTCTTTTTGATTTTTAACCAATATCTGTCACTCCATCTACGCAATAGAAGACTGCATCATTTCATTACTTAATATGTTCATGTAGCATATTCTTAAAGCACTCTTTTTGTATACAACCTGAACATTTACTTTGGGTATGATTAAGTCATTGGTCTTGCACATGTTCCATTGCAATTAATATGTTTGACATAGATAAGAAAATTTAAACTTATTCATTCTCATCAATGCAACAGTTTTTCCATTTTTACTCAGAGTAACCGACGTTATTGTATTGATTTACAATTTTTCACCATTTCTGGAAATCAATCGGTCTCTGAGTAAAATGTAGAAAACATTTTTTTTTTTTGAAAAAAAATAATAAACCCCACGAAACATCAGAAACACCAAAAATAACTGGTTATTTTTCAAATCCAGCGTCCATAGAGTAGATTGTCTAATTCTTCTATTTTAAAGAAAGGTCATATCACCATCATAAAAGTTACTTGTCGTGTTCTTGAGATAAAATACCTTTTCTTGTAGTTTTGCTATCCTTCCTTTGACAACCTTTAACTCAATTTTGGAGCTTTTAAGATCTGGAAAATATAAATACAGTTGTATAGTATTCTCTTCAAATAAATATATATGCTTCACATTATTTAATCTTCTATAAAAATTCCATAAAACTGAGTACACACTGTTCATGTAACATGTTTAACTCGCTTAATGTGCTTAAACGTTCACAAAAATTAATTTATTTGACATTGACATGAAAATATTAAATTAAAACAAGATATGGATGTAATTTGAGAAGTGTCATACCTCCCTCAGTCTTGGTGAATTCTGCTTCCTTAAGGCAGTCGATAACAGTTTGAAACGCATTTTCATCGGGATGACTGATCCAGATTATAAGGCCTTCTGGAGGTTTGGGGACACAGTCAATAATACTTTTAACACACGTTTTCATTGGCCAAATTGCCAGATTTTGCAAGTCAAAAGCTACATATTTTTTGTTCTGCTTTTTAACCTCGGTAAACAACAGTTGTAAAACCTCTTCAATTTGATTTTTTTCTCTTGTTCCTCCTTCACGCCATAATGGGAATTTCAGCAGCGCAGTTTTCTCGTCATTAAGCCATTCAATAACCGTATCTGCAGATGTATAATATAATAGTATAAAAAAGATTACATAGTTAATTGCAATTAAATTGAAAAAAGAAGAGTATACGGATTGACTTTAAAGCAATATGAACTGCATTTTTGAGAATTTTATTTTGCCATTAAAATGTGTTATAATGATAAACAGTATTTGTATGTAATTTGGACCTTTATGTTCAATTAGACAAAAATAAAATATTTTAGTATTATCTTAATATTCCGACATCAAAGTTGCAGCTGCTATTGCTTTAACATGTTTCCCATGGCAGCTGTGACCAGTCGACAAAGAACGCTTACTTCTTCATAGCGACTGATCCAAAATTTTACAGAGATCGATGACATAATGTACATTCTTATACAAGCAACAATTTAACAGTTTAAGGGAATTTTTAGCGATACCTTCTTTGTTTTATGAGAATTTTACAAAATGTTCTCCTTTTTGTCTCTCGATCTCTCGAGTATTCTTTTACCAATTTTAACAATTTAAACACAACTTCTTCATGTATGTACATTACCTTTTCCTTCAGACTCCACTGGCTTCACTTGGACATCATAGTAGAGGCATTTTGTTCCTGACTCGCCTTTGTAAACGACAATTCCTGTATTTCCTTTTATCCACAATCGTGAATTTTTAAATGGACTGTACACAAAGCAGCATTGGCATTCGCGCAGAAAATCTGTTACCTTAGAAGGTAGAGCTTCAAACGGGAGCAATAAAATCAGTTCTTTCGGACATACTGAATTAATCAATTGTTTTATCTCCATCAAAGCTGAAGACAGACCTGCAATTTTAACTTCGTTTTTCTCTTGAACAAAATCTATGGTAACACCGGTTCTCTTGGCCTCTGTTTGCAGAAATTCCATGTAATATTCTTTTAGCCAAATGAAATGTTTGGCCTTCATTTGTATCGACTCTTTTCCAGGTACTCGTAGTTCAACTTGGCGAAAAAGTATCTTCAAACTTTCCTCTTCTTCAAGATCAGAAGTGTAAACGAATGTTAAATTTACGAAGCCGACTTTTCTCTTTGTGTTTGTCAGCAAACAAAGTTTGCCCTGTAAACTCTTCTCCAGATGCTCGGCATGTAGTTTCCATTTGTTGACGATATCCTCCGTATCTGTTGAATTCAAGACACCATATTCTCTGACTTTGATAGATTCCAACAATATGTTGATTATCATATTTGTATCATGAGAAGTATTCCCGTATACTAAAAGCATTTCATTGCTCTGTGGTGGTCTAATAACTGCCCAGGTGCCATTGATTGTAGCAATTTGTCTATCAATACATTCTTGGACATTTTTTCTGTCTAGAAAGAACAAAAACCCATCAAAATATTCACAAATTTCAAAGTGGATACCTGCCATCCAGGAATTGGCTTTAAGGTAATTACTTGCTGTAGCACAATCATTTTCATTTCCCATTATTTTGATTATCATCCCACTTTGATATATTTGTACATATGGATATTCTAACATTGTTTTCTCAGTTCCTTTAAACACTCTGTTCAGTCGGTATTGCAAATCAGGTATGGTAAACACATTGAATAAAATGCCTTCTCTTGTCTCTGGGCTCCATATTCTGATGTTTTCCATATGTTTCTGCATACTCATAATAAGATCAAATACAACTTCTCCTCTTTCTAGCAGAAAAATTTCAGTTGCACCTTTCATTTCAAATATTGATAAAGAATCGTCCCCAACCATGCCAGATTTTTCTATCTCTCTAAAAAGATGTTGAATATTATCCTGAGGTCCACTCAATATTAGCAATACGAGGTCCCTAAAACATTTTTCTAGAACTTCATAACATTTTTCGATCCAAAGCTCAAAGTGCTCATCCTGAGTTCGTGAGGTAAACTCAACCACAACACATGAAGCAGGTACTATTTTAAGTTTCACTTCAGTTTCTATGTCTTCTAATTGTTTTTTAAAAAGATTTAAAGGTTCATTCGATGTTATAAAGAAATTCCATTTCTGGAACTGATAAATTGTGGTTCTAAATATTTTATTATACTCTTTTTCCAATGCCTTGAAAACACATACGACTCCTGAAAATACGAATATAAAAGGTACGCCAATCCTTGTAATGACATTAATTTTTTATACATCCAGCAGATAAATTTCCTCCACTCATCTATCATGCATGTACATAATAATAAAATAAAATCAGTAAAAGACGGAGCTTTTAATAGATAATGCTTATGTCTCGGTAAATTGACTTAAGAATTTTGAATTAAGTTTCAACTTCTACCGATTTTATATCGTAACTAAATTCTTAAGCATAACTAAATCATATTTGAACAAGTTGTTTTTCAGGAATGTGTTTAAAAAAAAGGGGGAAGACCACATAATTCCTGTAGGGGTGACAGATGTTGCAAATAAACAGATGATTTAGAGTTAAACTTTGAACATCCCATTCCCACTTTTGTTGGTCAAACATTTTTCGTAAAGAAAAATATTTTCCTTATCAGCCTTGAAATGAATATATTTTGTTTTATATAGCAATGGATATAGATAACTGACTCAACAAAATCCCCCCCCCCTCCCTCCCCAGCTCAAAACCATATGATCGTTCCCTGAAAGAATACACTTTACAACTTTTTATTTGATAATTTTTGCGTTTGAAATTAACTCAGGTAGCTTAAAAATGAATTTGAACGAGAATTTCACACTGATGTTTTCTCATACGTCCATGTCGATATTTTAATCATCTGTTTAATTTTTAATTCCACAATGTTTAGACTGTACAAGGGTGTGTGAGAAAACATCAGTTTGACTTGCAGTTAGATTAGGGCTTACTCAATACGGGAACAATATATGTATGCGTAACTGTAGCAAGAAGCACAAGTTACCAGCCATGCCCGCATAAAACACATTTATATACCACCGCAACCCCCCCCCCTTTCTCACACAACCACACACACACACACAGAGACAGATATATATATTTATATATATATATATATATATATATATATATATATATATATATATATATATATATATATATATATATGTGTGTGTGTGTGTGTGTGTGTGTGTGTGTGTGTGTGTGTGTGTGTGTGTGTGTGTGTGTGTGTGTGTGTGTGTGTGTGTGTGTGTGTGTGTGTGTGTGTGTGTGTGTGTGTGTGTGTGTGTGTGTGTATACATTCAATAGTACTACCTGATCTTTCAGAATCTGGAGGATCTGTAAATGTTGGTACTCTCAAGCTTCTGGACGACATTTTTTTTCAATTTGTTCAAATGTCCAATTTTCTTGGTTTGAGGAATATATTTAGGTTCAAGGGGATTTGATTTCGTGGTTGAAGAACTGTTTAGTAGTAATGCATGTGTAAAATTGCATTTCGTGGTGGACATGAATCCCTGGATCTGTACATACCTTCAAAACCACGAAAAATAACCACCATTAGAATAAGTATTTCACAGTACCCTACATCTACCTGGATTTTCTTTAAAGCAATGAGTGACCATGCACAGGGTCTACTAAAGTATATCAAAAACGAAAGTAGGGAATAAAATTGTAAGAAGTTAAAGAACGTTAAAGAGAGTGTTTTTCAAAGTTTGTACCTGGAACTGTTGAAACATATTGATCACGTGTCGGCATCAATTTCCGAGATCATCAGCTCAGAATACCTTTCAACTTTCACGGGTCTAAACTTCGAACTATGCATATCATCAAGGGTGTGTTTTTATTAACCATGACCCAAAAGAAAATTCTCGCGGCAAATTCGAAAGCCTCTATTTCTACGTGTACACAGTTAAAATAATATAATCCTTTCTTTAATTTATTTACAAAGAAAGTTAATTTTAATCAGGACTGGTACTAATCTGATTGCTATTCATTATGCATTATAAGGACATTCATTTTGAGGGGTAGATCTATTAATATATCAATATTTTTATCTATTGTCATTTACAGAATTAATTACTATGGGAGTGACAATTTTCCTTGATATTTTTATATTCATATTCCTTTTAACAAAACAAAAAGATACAACGGAGAATGCAATACCTGCTGTACATTTGTAATATGATATTTCTCCAACTTTAATTTCTCAGCCTTTAATATTGCGACAAGTGTTTCCTTCATATGTATCAATGTCTCAAAGCAAGGAAAGAGACCGACGAATCTCGGATTACTCCTGATGTAAAAGTATATAACTTTGGTGATAGGACAGGGCGAGAGTGGCCAGTAAAGAAAATTGTACAGGACGCAGGGTCCCTCTTAAGAGTACATGTCGTAAATTGTTACAGTAGTAAGGGAGTTAGATTAATTAAAAAGGGTGAAATCGATGTCACATCCAGGGAAAATGAACGGTCTCAGCAGAACAGAAACAGAGAAGTATGAACAATTGGAAGATGAAGGAGGCATGGGTGCCCCTAAATACCCCATCTTAATGAAATTATTCCTTACACCCAAGCCTATCAAAATTGTTTAGGGGCAGTCCTGCCCTGAAAGACTTATGGACCAAAATTCATGCAAAATCCGAAGCTTCAAGGACGTTCGATCCTGTGCTTTTAATTCGATTTTGTCTGGACCTTTATTTCTAAGAAAAAAATTGCATCATTTTTAAGGTTTAACATTGAATTTAGATTCTACATGTACAAAGCAAATTATATTAGTATATCTATATTGCAAAAATCGCAATTAAGTCCAAGTCAAGTAGGGTTAAGCCATGAACTATATTTTGTTGCAGAGGGTTTTATTAGAAGAAAATGGTTGTACTTAAAGCTGTTTTTTTTTTCATTGAAATGTGTTATGCTTCTTCTTAAATATATATTGAATTATTTCACATGAATTCATTCGATGAATTATGACAAATATAGTAAATATATTCTGAAAGTCCAGGAAAAATTTGGAACGACTTTACTTTACTGGTCCCCAGAAAAACGCACTAAAATGTAGTGTCGCCGAAGGCGACTTCAGGACATAAGCGATCAAAAAAAAATTTAATAACGAGGTTTTTTTGGCCTTTTGACCCCAAAATTGAATTATACGGTTAAAAGTTTAATTCAAAACTTTGTTTCTAAAGAAAGTTTTTAACTTCGTTCTCTTAAAAAATCAATAAATAGTTGTTTGTTCATGGAAAAAATTGACAAAGAATAATTCTGAACGAAGCGCGTGCGGCGCATGCTTAGTGTCAATTCTTTCGGACTTAGCCAATCTTCCATGTAAACAAACGAAGGAAATGCCTGTGAATCTGAATTATGATCTTAAAAAAATTACAGAAACAACTGAATTTCTTAACTTAACTAAAAGAACGATTCACTAACCCTAATCCATCGTATGGTATGCAAAGACTTAGAAGTTCAGACGAAATCTCCCGGGTAGATGCTGAACTAACCCTAATCAGTCGAATAATGTGCGAGGACTAACCCTAATCTCTCGGGTGGACGCGAGACTAACCCTAATCAGTCGAATACTAGTGCAAGGACTAAACCTAATCTCTCAGATGGGTATAAGACTAACCCTAATCAGTCGAATAGTGTGCATGCAAATTTAACCCATTTCAGTTGAGTGACGTAGTTGTTGCGTCATAGACCAATGAGCACGAGAATCTTGCGGATCTGGGGACCGGTAAAGTAAAGTCTACCCAAAAATTGAGCCAATTTAAACATAAAATGAACACATTTTTAGAAATATATATATCAAAAAATTTATAATACATCATACATCCCCACTTTTGATGTTTATCTGAATAATTAAAATTCCCTTGAAGTATCTGCTAAACTTCTATCAATAAAGTAATTTTCTTGCTTAAATTTCCAATGCCAGAAAAAGACTTTAAATATCAGGAGTCAACGCATCATACAAGGAGTGTTCAAAAAGTTCGCGAACTAATTAAATAATTCCAATAAAAGAAATAACATTTGGTGTCAGTGTTGATTATATTTTAAATTAACTAGTTTCTCCGATTTTAATGCATATCTGCCACCCTTCTGCTCATTCGCGAATCACGTGATATAGGCGGTAACGTGACACCTTCCGCAACGTTACAACTGTTACAAAAGCTGCAAGATTTTCTGAGTTTTATATTTCTTTCAATGTAAAATAATTTTTAAAACAAGGACAATTCATTCGTCAGAAATGGTCAAATCTCGGCAGCAGAATGGGATGATATAAATATCCTTTCCAAAAATAAGCATGGCGATCATCAAAACCAAAATCTTCTGTCTCGGGAAAGACGTTTATCAAGGTGGATAGAGAGAGAGAGAGAGGGTGCCTACTGTTTTAACGTAAAGTAAGTATAAAACCCTGCGGTCAACACATTATCATCAATTTTGTGACGTAAACCAGATTATTGTGACGTCTACAACTCTCGGGAGTTTTCGTTCAACGAAAGAGAACTATATTGCTAGAAAATACACTAAGTGTTTCGAAGAGGTGGAATATGAAGAATTGCGTGCCTACTGCCGTGAAATATGAAGTTTTACGGTCGGATCACGTGATAACCTAGAACCGTTCAGATAACGCGTTGTGTAGAATATTTATAATGAGGAATAATAAAATCAGTTACTTCATGTTATATTATAATTTTCTGGATACTTAAGAAATAAGGTATCATTTTTTGAGTTTTATTGAGATGTAAAACGGGTTGGTCACGTGATCAAATCCCGTGAAGCCCGAAGGCCGAATGATACCTTATTACTTATATTTACATTTGTGACTTATTCATACTTTATATTACTTTTAACGTGTTAAATGCGTTAATTTTTCAAACCCAACGGCATGTATGTAATCCACTAAACGTGCGTCGACCCTCTATGACGTCACAGAGAAATTACGTAGAACGTTTATCCAAACGTACATCTATGACCTCTTGACCCCATACCTATATTTATACAGTTATAAAAACGCTTGCCTTCAGTAGTGTTATATAGAGAAAAACATTTGCAAATGTATATATTTTACATTATCACATATTTTCCACGTTATCCTGTTCATATAGCTCATGTGATATCGTTTTCGTATCAACACTAGGTATTCCTACGCCGTGTGACGTAATGTAAATAAACAAATATACATGTGTATGATGGAGAGAATGACTTAATTTGTAAAATTTCACTTTATTTGATGTATTTTAACAAGATTTCATTCACAAATTAAAAAAATAAGCGCTGAAATATTTTCTTTCTTTTATATTTGTACGGACTATTTCATACAGCGTAATTTTATTTATTACGTTATTTGGTCCGAGGTTTATAAAGCGTAAACTGCCCCAACCCAGTTTATACCGTATAAAATGGGTAGCTATTAAATTCATTCCTCATAATTTAATTTTCATTCATCTAATGTAAGAAAAAACGATTATTGTACAAACAAAATGACTTAAATTTTTACAAAATTTGAATGTAACGTCAGGCAGATTAATACGTTTCTGACGCTAGTCATTGTGACGTAGGCAACCCATTTTATACAGTATAAAATAATTTTTTATCCAATCAAATAAAGCGTTACAGCTAGAATTAAATTATTTAGAAATACCAACAAAATGCACATTTATAGTGAACAAAAATATGTGATAAAAAGAATCTCCAACTCGTTGTGTGTTTTCTATCCCTTCGCCAAGGCTTGGGGATAGAAAACAAACAACTCGTTTATAAAAATCATAGAAAACCTCAAACCACGGGAGATCCTATATATATATATATATATATATATATATATATATATATATATATATATATATATATATATATATATATATATATATATATATATATATATATATATATATATATATCATAGTTAATGCTTACTTATAGTGTTTTCGTATTTTCGGTATCATGCTCCAAATCGCAGTACAGTTAAGGTGCGCAATGGAAATATCGGCTAAATTTTGTATTTAAAAATGTATTCGTAATCGGGTTGGCGATTATTTTTTAGTACATTATTTATATCGGATAACTGTAATTATGATTTATAACTACATATCGAGGACGATTATATTTTATATTTAGACTAGTCACGTGATGCGACAGGCACGCGATTTTAGCACATTGACTTGAAGTATTGATGTCACATATAAATGTCACTAGTGCAAGGGCATAACCAAGTTAATTTTCTAAGTTTAGCATATAAATATTTTCAACAAGCATTGTAGTTTCTAAAAAATGCTGCGATCCTGTCTAAATTCTGCAATTTCATTGTTAAAATTACATTTGTATGACCGAATGCTATATTTTTTGCTGGTCAGCGGCATGAAATATTGATATAATTAAATTGTTTTTAAGATTTCATCAGGATCGCAGC